TCCAAACCAACCGCCTGCGATATTCTGTTTGTAGAGATCCAGATCTTCTTACATCTCAGGCTGATTTCGTGGGTGCTCAGAGTAGTCTGGTAGATATTCAGCTCAATTCCGGGGACCACTTGAAATAGGGTCCCCTACTCCTCCGCCATCTTTTCTTCCCCATCGTGAATGATTTTTTAAATGTATTCTTGGATTCTCTTTGCTAGTATTTTGTGAAGGATTTTTATATCTATGTTCATCAGAGATACTGACCTGTAGTTCCCTTTTGTATGGTGTTTTTATCTGGTTTTGGTATCAGGGTGATACTGGCCTCATAGAATGAATTTGAGAAGAATAGGTTAAGTATTTTTTTAAATAGATTTTATTTATTTGACAGAGAGAGCACAAGCAGGGGGAGCAGCAGGCAGAAGGAGAGGAAGAAACAGGCTCCCCGCTGAGTATGGAGCCCAACGCGGGTCTCAATCCCAGGACCCTGGGATCATGACCCAAGCCAAAGGCAGACGCTTAACCAGCTGAGCCACCCAGCTGCCCCAAGGTTAACTATTCTTCAGATCTTTGCTAGAGGGGCACCTTGGTGGCTGAGTTGGTTAAGTGTCTGCCTTTGGCTCAGCTCTTGATCTCGGGATCCTGGGATCAAACCCTGCCTCGGGCTCTCTGCTCAGTGGGGAGTCTGCTTTCCTTCTCCCTCTGTGCTCTCTCTCTCTCAAATAATCTTTAAAAAAAATCTCTGGTAGAATTCAACAGTGAAGCTGTCTGGTCCTGGACTTTTGTTTGTTGAAGTTTTTTGGTTACTGATTCAATCTCCTTACTGCTAACTGGTTTCTTCAAATTTTCTATTTCTTCCTGCTTCAGTTTTGGTAGGTTATATGTTCCTAGGAATTTATCCATTTCTTCTAGGTTGTCTAATTTGTTGGCATATAGTTTTTCATAATACTCTTTTTAACAACTGTATTTCTGTGATGTTGGTTGTTATTTCTCCTCTTTCATTTCTAATTTTGAGTTTGTTTTGTTTTGCTTTTTGATGAGTCTGACTAGGGGTTTGTCAGTTTTCTTGATGTTTTCAAAGAACCAGCTCGTTTTTTTGGTTTCTATATCATTTATTTCTGCTCTAACCTTTATTATTTCCTTCCCTTTGCTGGTTTTGGGTGGTGTTTTGTTCTTTTTCTAGCTCTGGTAACGTTAGGTTGAGATTTTTCTTGCTTCTTCAGGTAGGGCTGTATTGCATATACTTTCCTCTTAGAACAGCTTTTGCTACATGCCCAAAGGTTTTGGACCATTATGTTTTCATTTGTTTCCATATACTTTTTGATTTATTCTTTGATCTCTCAGTTGACCCATTCATTGTTTAGTAGCATGTTATTTACCCTCATGTATCTGTGGTCTTTCCAGATCTTTTCTTATGGTTGATTTCTAGTTTCATAGTGTTATGGTTGGAAAAGATGCATGGGATGACTTCAGTCTTTTTGAATTTGTTGAGGCTTGTTTTGTGGCCTAATATATGATCTGTTCTGGAGGATGTTCCATGTGCACTTGAAAAGAATGTGTATTCTGCTGTTTTAGAATGGAATGTTCTGAATATATGTTAAATCCATCTGTTCCCATGTGCCAATCAAAGCCACTGTTTCCTTGTTGCTTTTGTTTGGATGATCTGTCCATTGATGTAAGTGGGGTGTTAAAGTCCCCTACTGTTTGTTCTTAACTCTTTTATATATTTGGGTGCTGCCATGTTGGGTACATAACCATTTACAATTATTGTATCTTCTTGTTGGATTGCCTCCTTTACTATTATATAGTATCCTTCTTTGTCTCTTTTTACAGACTTTTATAGTCTATTTTGTCTGATGTAAGTACTGCTACCCACCCTTCTTTTGACATCCATTTGCATGATCTCCTTCCCCTCAAGACTTTCAATCTTCATGTGTCTTTAGGTCTGAAATGAGTCTCTGGTAGGCAGCTTACAGATTTTTTTTTTTTTTTAATCTGTCACACTATGTCTTTTGAGTGGAGCATTTAGTACATTTACATTGAAAGTAATTATTGATAGATCTGTATTGCCAGTTTGTTAACCTGTTTTGTGGTTGTATTTGTAGCTTTTTTTCCTGATTCTTCTTTTTCTTTCATGGTTTGTTGGTTTTCTTTAGTGATATGCTTAGATTCTTCATGTTTTGCTTATCTATTACTGTTGATTTATGTTTACCATTTGATTTATATATAACATCTTCTGCATACAGCAGTCTATTTTATGCTGATGGTCATTCTTTACTCCTTCCCTCCCCTCCATGTTTTAGGTATATGCTGTCCTAGTTTACATCCTTTTATTTTACTAATCCCTTGACTGACATTTACAGAAATACTTTTACTGCTTTTGTGCGTTTTTTACTTTTCACACCCTAACTTTTCTTCTACAGCTGGCTTAGTGGTCACATACTACTGTAGTTTTCGTCTGGGAAACTCTATCTCTCCTATTCTGAATGATGGCTTTGCTGGATATAAAGTATTTTTGGCTGCAGAAGTTTCCCTTTCAGCATTTTGAATATATCATGCCACTCCCTTCTGGCCTGCAAAAATCTAATACCCTTATGGGCTTTCCCTGTGTATGTAGGTCTTCTTTTCTTTTGCAACCTTAAAATTCTTTTTTTTTTTTTTTAAGATTTTATTTACCTATTCATGAGAGACAGAGAAAGAGAGGCAGAGGGAGAAGCAGGCTCCCAAGGAGCAGGAAGCCCGATGTGGGACTCGATCCCAGGACCCTGGGACCACGACCCGAGCCAAAGGCAGACGCTCAACCACCCAAGCCACCCAGGCGCCCACAACCTTAAAATTCTTTACCCAGTATTTCTTGACATTTTAATTACAGTGTGTCCTGCTGTGGACCTCCTTGGGTTGATTTTGTTGAGGGCTCTGTACCTCCTGAATCTGAATTTCTTTTTCCCTCCCCAGATTTAGGAAATTTTCAGCTATAATTTCTTCTCTTCCCCCCTTTATCTTCTTCTGGGATCCCAGTAGATGCAAATGTTACTATGCTTGATGGAGTCACTGAGGTCTCTAAGTCTATTCTCTATGCAGTATTTGTCTCTCATCTGCTTAGGTTGACTGCTTTACATTACTCTATCCTCCAGGTCACTAATACATTCCTCTCCTTCCTGTAGCCTACTATTTATTCTATCCATTGTAGTTTAGTTTCATTTATTGAGTTCTCAAGGGTCTCACTGATGTCCTTCATTCTTAAGTCCAGTATCTTTATGATCATTACTTTAAATTCTCTAACTACTTCTGTTTTGTTTAGGTCTCCTGCTGTGTTTTTGTCATGGTCTTTCATTTGGGACATACTCCCCCTGCTGCCTCATTTTGTCTAACTCTGTTTCTGTGTGTTAGGAAACTCAGGTATATCTCCTCTTGAAAGCAGTGCCCCTGCAGTGTTCCCTGTTCACCAGGACCTGGTGTTTTAGAGGGGTCTCCTATGTGTGTTGCCTGCATCTTGCTGTTGTGTTGGAGTAGCTTTTCCTTTCAGTCCAGACTCTGCACTGACTCTATTGCTATCTGTGGTGTGAGAGAGACCCAGGTAGGCTGGCTCTGAAGGGGAGTGACCAAGGGAGAGCTCAGGGGTAGGGTGGTGGTGTTAACAAAATTTGCATTGGGGAATCTGGCCTAGGACTAGTGACTCAAAGTGTGGTAATTGCCAGGGGCATGGTGTACATTAGCAGCAGTGGCCTGGGGTAACTCAAGCAGCTGAGGTGGCCATCAATGGACACATGGCAGCTGGGAGCCTATGGTGGCTGGGCATGGCATGCACAATGTCAGCAAAATTTGCACTGGGCCACTAGTCCTAGGCCGATCCCCCAAAGCAAGGTGGCAGCCAGGGATAAAGTGCACAGGAGCAGCAGTGGCTTCAGGTGTGCAGCAACTGACCAGGGCATGCATGAGCTGCTAGTCCTAATCCAGATCCCCCAAAGAAATGCAGCGGCCACAGAGGCACAGCGCATTAACAGAATTTTTGCTAAGCCCAGGCCTGAGGCCAGCTGGCTTGGCGTGGGCAAATCCTCAGGAGAATACAGGGGTGTGGTACACTGCTAGCAGATTAGGTAGCAAGTGTCTGTGTAGCCCCGTGTCCCACAGGTGGCCCTCTGTGCTGGGGGGTGGGGAGGAAAATGGCACCTGTCAGCTCCTTTGTTCCCAGAGAAGTCCCCCAACATGCTCCGAAATCAGTATAAACAGATCTCCCTCCCGTTGTGCAAGCTGTCGCTTCTATGTTGCCTCTCCTTGGGCTGCTGTCACTTTAGGGGCAGGCTCTGGCTATCACTTGCCTAGCACTGGCGTGGCTGACTTTTAAAGCTCCAAATCCCACTGGTTATACAAACTCACGGAATTCAGCCCCTCTGGTTTTCAAGGCCAGACATTATAGGGATTTGCTTGCTCTGTGTGGGCTCTATGATGCTTTCTCCTTTCCATGACCACAGTTCCATCCTTCCGGCAGCTTCCAGCCACTGTTTCTGCCCTTCATAACCTCTCAAATGTGAGTCATGGAGTTTGTTTTGCGTGTCTTCAGATCACTCTCCAGTTTACAGACTTGGATATGAGTGATATCTAGTTGTAAACATGGGACTGGGTGAGCTTAGGGTCCTCTTATTCTACCATCTTGCACTACCTCCCCCATGAGTCACCTAGTTTCTCAGTGGAAGCATATATTTGTGGATAATGTTTGCGTTAGCTTTGGCTTGCAGAAAACTGTATTGGGGGGAAAGTGTGTAACTCTAATGGCAGCAGTTTATAGGCTCACGCTGCCTATGATGCTTTCTTGCTGGGCTGGTAGTTGGAACTGGCTCATCATGAGTGTCTTCTGTGTTGCAATAAGATACGCATTAATGTGTCAGCGAGGGATGGAAGGTAGGTATGTAAAGGATGTCTTGGTTGCGGGAACAGCTGAGGAATGACTGTTGGGCAGGTGGAACCAACCATTCACAAGGTACCTGTGGTGATTCTGACCATCGTTTTCTCTCCAGCAGAACCAGGGACAGAATTCCGGCCATGGGGCCATTCCTGCCCGGTGACCTTTTCCAGTACCCAGTTCCTCGAACAGTATGTGCTGTGTGGTCACCTTCCTCAGATCTTCCCAAGCTCATACGCAGGAAGCCCCATCCCAGTGGAAGCTCCAAACTGCTCAAGTGAACAAGCGGACGATGGAGGCATGGAGGGGAGACTCCGGCTGAGTGGGGTTTCCAGGGTGCTCTTCAGACCCTCTCAGGACTGGCCAGTAGACTGGGTAGAAGGCAACAGAGCTGGGCATCCTGAGGAGGCAGGCCTTGCAGCATCTGAGGCAACCATGTGTGGAAAATACAGACTGGGACTTGGTACCAAATCTAGCTTCTTGAGCCTCCAGAAGCATCATGTATGCCCTGAATGTGGCAGAAGCTTCTGTCAGAAGTCAGACCTCACCAAGCACCAGAGGACACACTCAGGGGAGAAGCCTTACAGCTGTAGGGAGTGTGGGCGAGGCTTTGGCCGCAAGTCCTCCCTCACCATCCACCAGAGGAAACACTCAGGGGAGAAGCCTTATGTGTGCCGGGAGTGTGGGCGCCACTTTAGGTACACTTCCTCACTTACCAACCACAAGAAGATACACTCTGGGGAGAGGCCCTTTGAATGTCAGGAATGTGGGCGAGGTTTTCGCCAAAAGATTGCCCTCATCCTGCATCAGAGGACACACTTGGAGGAGAAGCCCTTTGTGTGTCCTGAATGTGGGAGAGGCTTCTGCCAGAAGGCATCACTCCTCCAACATCGCAGCTCACATTCGGGCGAAAGGCCCTTCTTGTGCCTTGAGTGTGGGCGTGGCTTCAGGCAGCAGGCACTACTCCTCAGTCATCAAGTCACACACTCAGGGGAGAAGCCTTATGTCTGTGCTGAGTGTGGGCATGGCTTTCGCCAGAAGGTCACCCTTGTCAGACACCAGAGGACGCACACAGGAGAAAAGCCTTACCTGTGCCCAGAGTGTGGGCGTGGCTTTAGCCAGAAAGTCTCCCTCATGGGACACCAGAGGACACACACAGGGGAGAAGCCTTACCTGTGCCCGGAGTGTGGGCGTGGCTTTGGTCAAAAGGTCACCCTCATCAGACACCAGAGGACGCACACAGGGGAGAAGCCTTATCTGTGCCCGGAGTGTGGACGCACCTTTGGCTTCAAGTCACTCCTCACCAGACACCAGAGGACACACTTAGAGGAGGCGGCTGATGTGTATGGAGTATGTGAGCAAGGACTTGGCCAGAAGTCTCACTTCACCTCTGACCAGAGGGCACACTCAGTGGGGAAGCCATGTGTATGCAGTGAATGTGGGCGAGGCTTCGGCTTCAGGTCAGCCCTTGTCAGACACCAGCGCACCCACTCAGGAGAGAAGCCATATGTGTGCAGGGAATGCGGTCGAGCCTTTAGCCAGAAGTCTCACCTTCACAGACACAGGAGGACCAAGTCTGGCCATCGCCTCCCACCTCAAGAGCTGCTCTCCTGACCTTTCCTTTCCTCCTGAGTGTGAAGATGGCAGAAAGCACTAGGAGATGTTCCACTTTCCTCAGATGCAGTGGAGGAAAAAATGTGTTCTTTCAGTGATTGGAAGATAGTTGATTTATGGTTTACTTTATGTGCTAGCAATGTGTTTTAATTTGCTAGGGCTGCCATAAAGAAACACCACAAATTTGATGGCCAAAGAACAATTCAAACTTGATGGTCAAAGAACAATTTTCTCACAGTTCTTGGGACTGGAAGTCCAAGATCAATGTGTGCACTTTGGTTTCTACCGAAGCCTCTCTCCTCCGTTGACAGATGCCTACATCCTTACTGTGTCCTCGCATGGTCTTTGTGCACTTGTTCTAAGGACAACAGCCTTACTGGGTTAGGGCCCCACTCTGTCACCAAACGAGGTCACACTGTGGGTTCTGGCTTCAACATAGGAATTTGGAACAATTCAGTCCATAACAGCCTCCTGGACCCCCGAAATTCGTGTTCTTCTCACATCCACAGCATGTTCTTAACAGCTCCCAAAGTGTTGACCCATTCCAGCATTGACTGTGTCCAAAATCTCATGTAAATCAAGTGTGCGTGAGGCTAGGGGTATGTTTCATCCTGAGGCAAACCAGACAAGTTACCAAAGATGTAGAATTTGCATTCCCTTTCCACAAGGGGAAACAAGAAAAGATTGATGGGTCCCAAGCACATCTGTGACCTAGCAAGCAAATTCTATTAGGTTTTAAAGGCTTGAGAATAATGTCTGGTAGGATGCTTTGCCCTCTGGTCCTGCTGAGGTGGCAGCAGCAGGCTGACAGCAGTATGCAACCCCCTGAGACCATGGAGGCATTCACCCTCCAGGCCCACCACGGGAATGTCAGACCAACTGATCTGTTTCACTGTCAGGGTCACTGTTTCCTCCTCTTGGTGGGTAGCACCACAGAAGTCTGACAGCCGGCCTTTGCTGTGTCCCGTCTGTACCATCCTTAGTACAGCCTCGTAGTTACCACTGAGCATCAACTGGTTCCAAACTAATCTCTTTATCAAATGACTGTCCAACAACACCACTGGTATTCTCTCTAGAACAGGCTTTCTCATTTTCACAATATGGATAGGCTAAGAATTCTCAAAATCTTCAAGTTCTGGCTCCTTTTTGCTAAACAGTTCCTTCAATTTACCTCCCTCCTCACATATTTCTAGGAGGAGCAACAAAACAGGTATACCTTTCAACACCTTGCTTAGAAATCTCCTCAGCTAAGAATTCGTCACTTCTGTCACCTAAGATTTTGATCCTCCACTAAACACTGGAACACAACCCAGCCACATTCTTTGCTGCTTTATAATCAGGATTGCCTTTCCTTTAGTTTCCAGTAATGTTCCACATTTCTGTCTGAGGCCACAGCAGAATCACTTCTAATTTCCCTTTTCCTACCATAGTCTCCTTGAGGCAACCCCGGCTTTCTCCAGCAAGCACCTCTAAACCCATCCACCCTCTACCCACCACCCAGTTCCAAAACCACCTCCATAGTTTTTCATATTTATAGTAGCACACCACTCAGTACCAAAACTGTATATTCTTTTACCAGGGCTGCCATAACAAAACCAGAGACTGGAAGTCCAAGATCGCCCTGACCTACTGAACTTTGCCTGCTGGCTGGCAGGTGGTACCTTCTCCTCACGTGGCCATTCCCCTACACATGTGCCAGAGAGCAAGTGAACTCTGGTGTCCCTTACTCTTGTAAGATCTGGGCTCCACCCTTACAACATAATTTAACTTTCAATATTTCCTTAGGTCCTGGACCAAATACTGTCACATTAGGAAAGGGCTTCATCATGGACTTTTTTTGGGGAAAATTTAGTTCATAACACTGCCCTCTGGACTCCCCGAATTCCTACCTGGCCCTCAACTCCTGCCATAAAGGGTCCTGATCTTTTCTTTCCCAGGAGTGTGAAGCCAGCAGGAAGCACTGGGCGGTGCTGCACTTTCCTGAAGTGGAATGCAGGAAGCATGCTGGTCCTCTCAGTGGCCAGGGGTGTGTGTGTGTTGTGTGTGTGGGTGGGGGGGTGTTGGACACACCTTTCTAAGCCCTCCTCCACACCCAGGTCTGTTTAATAAACTGCTTCCTTACAAAGCTGAACCTGATCATATACCTCATTCCTTCAGCTGTCAAGAACCCCATGATCCTGAACCTCAGGAGACATGGAGGGTCACTGTCTATTTGTTCTTAACTGTGGCCCTGAGTGTGGGGAGGGCCCTCATCATCACCCTTTCTTAGGTCCTCCAACAATGCCAGTAGGGGCATCTTCTTGTACCCCCAGCCCTGCATCCTGTTAGCCACACCCATGTACCAGTGATCCAGCCTGAGGACTTGGGGCCTTTCTTCCATGACCCTCCCTAATCCTCCAGTCAGAGGAGCTAGAGCACCTGTCTTTATACCCAGTCCAAAGTACTGTCCCTTTAGCCTGCCTCTCACTCTTGGATCCCCAGAGCCTGACAAGTGTCCAGCCCAGGATAGGCCTTGTCCTTTTCCCCAGGCCCAGAGGTTTTTCCTGGCTTAAAATCCAGAGGCAATAAAAGATTAATACACACACAAAAAAAAAACCCCAAAATTTTACATGTCAAAAATATCAAAAGTAATACCAAAAGACAAATTTCCTTCCTTCTGGAAGGAAAATCTAACATATTTCACAAATAAAGGGTTAATATCCCCATTTTACAAGAACTTTCAAAAATCAAAAGACCAGAAATGCCACAGAAAGTGGGCAAGAGACATGATCAGGAGTAAGTATACAAATAAGTGCAGTCTGCTGCTTACAGGAGAATGCCAATGGCCAACTGGTAACTACATTTTTTTTCCTCCTACTAATATCTCATATCACAGTGTTTTTATCAAAGCTATGAAATTAACTTTAGGACAGCACTATTGGGAACTATTCAGATTTTCCATTATTGTCCTTTTTGTGATCTAGGATCCAGTCTAGGATCCCATATTGCATTTATTCTCATGTCTCTTTAGTCTCCTCCAATCTATGACAGTTCTCTGCATTCCATGACCTGGATACTTAAAGAGAGCTGGTCAAATATTTTATAGAACCTCACAGTTTGGAATTGTGTGATATTTTCTCATTACTAGATTTGCATTATAGATTTTCTAGAATACCACAGAAGTGAAATATCCTTACTATATCATATTAAAGGGTACATGATACCAACAAGATTTATTCATGGTGATGTAATCTTGGTCACTTTGTAAAAGTGGTGGCTACCAGGACTCTCCACTATAAACTTGCCATTTCTCTTTCCATACCCCATTAGTTGGAAGTAATCTGTAAGTCCAGTCCATACTCCAAGACAAGGGAATTAAGCTCTATCTCCTGGAGAACGCACCTTGTAATTAGTGCTTCTTACATCCCCCACCCCACAGAACAAAGTGGCACAGTGTTTTATGGCTCCCAAACTACCAAAAGACAGCCCAGGTAGGTCCATTCCTCCCTGGATGGAACAGAAGTCCTGCTGACAACACCAGGTGAGCCCAGCAGCACCAGCAGGTGGGAATGATTAAGGGAAATGCTTTCTTATCTCACAGGGTTGAGACTCCCCTCCCCAACCTAGACCCAACATAGCCAGGGAGGGTCGGTCCTGCCACAGAAACACCTGTTCCAGGAAGTACTCTATCTCTAGAGACCTGAGATTCCCCATCTAAGCAAGACACTTAGCTGGGTGGCACCAGCAAGGACATCCCTGCTAAACTGCCCAGCCCAAGAAGAGATCCATCTCCCTTACTGGCAGACAACAGGTTGCCAGGAGGCACTGGAAATGGGGATCCTGACACATTTAACAGCTCAACCTGTGAAGCTTTTGCTTCCCTTTTGGGCCAGAGCATCCCTTCCCCTATCTAGAGACACCAAGCAGCCTGTTTTTGGAGAACTCCTTCCACACTCCCAACACCAGCCGGAAAAAGTGGAAGGAACGGTGGTACCAAATAAGCCAAGTAGACCTAAACAGCATTGCAAGAGTTCTGAAAACTATACTGTCATTGGATCATAGGCTGCAATCTGGGAGCTAACCTAAAAGCAGGGTGACTGCCTGCTAAAATCAAAGGTTTAAATATGACCCAGAGTCTCTTAACAGCTAAATGTGCAGGATGCAATAGAAAGTTACTCATCATACCAAAAACCAGGAAATCACAACTTAAATGAGAAAAGACAATCAACTCACACCAACACTGAGATAAGTTTGATGCTGGAACTATTTGACAGGGATATTAAAGCAGCCATCATAAAAATGCTTTGAGCAATCACAAGTTCTCTTGAAACAAATGAAAAAATACAAGATCTCAAGAACAAAAAACAAAAACAAGTTACACCAAAGTTCAACTGAAAATTATAGAACTAAAAAATAGAGAATTTAAAAGCTCATTGGATGGGCTTAATGGTAGAGTTGATATGACAGAAAATGTAATTGTAGAATTTGAGGGCAGATTAATAGAATTTAGCAAATCTGAACAATGGAGAAGAAAGACTGAAAAAAAAATCTTTGCGACAAGAACAAAAAAAGCTAACATTTGTGTCAAGTCCCAGAAAATGAGAAAGGAAGTAGGATTGAGAAAATACTTGAAGAAATATTTTGAAGAAATGACCAGAAACATCCCATATTTGGCAAGAAACATAAATGTGCAGATTCAAGAAGCCAAGTGAACACCAAATAACATAAATCGGAAGAAGTCCATACTAAGACATCATAATTAAAATTCTGAAATCTAAAAACAAAACAAAACAAAAAAACCTTGAAAGCAACCCCAGAGAAATGTCTCATTACCCATAGGGGGACACCAATTCAAATGACAGCAGATTTCTCATGAAATCATGGCAGTCACAAGGATGTAGCATAACATTTTTCTTCCAAGTGCTGAAAGAAGACTGTTAACTGCAGTCTTCTGCATATCTGCCAAATATCTGCCAAAACCATCCTTCAAAAATGAAGGCAAAATTAACAAACACATTCCCAGATGAAAGAAAACTAAGAATTTGTTGCTAGCAGACCTGACCTTAAAAAACGGCTAAAAGAAAGTTCTTCAAACAGAGAAAATAATAAAAGAAATACTGGAGCATCAGGAAGAAAGAAAATACCATGAAAAGAGCACAAATATGACTACATAAAACAGGCCCTCCTTCTACCCACGTTTTTAAAATTACATGTGATGATTGAAGCAAAAGTTATACTATCACCTCATACTCTAGACAACAACGTTTAAAAGTGGGAAAAAGGCCCTAAACAAAAATAACATTTTCACACTTCACTCCAAATGGTAATATACTGAGAGACTGTGATAAGGACTTATGTGTATTGTAATACCCAGAGCAACCACTAAGAAAACTATACAAAGAGATACACTAAAATACATGAAGAATGAATCCAAATGGAATCTTACCAAATAACCCACAGAAAAGAGAAACAGAAAAATGAGACCTAGAGGAAACAAATTTAAATTCAGTAATAAAATGGCCAACTTAAGCCCTAACACATCAGTAATTAATTACCTTAAGACTGGTTCTAATTACACCTATCAGAAGACAAAGATTGGTGAGGGTGGATTTAAAAAAAACTCCCCAACTATACACTGTTTATTAAGTTCAGTGACATAGATTGAAAGTAAAAAGGGTGGGAAAATATACACCATGCAATCAATTTTAAAAAGCATAAGTTCCCATATTAATATCAAATACAATAGACGTCACAGCAAAGAAACTGACCAGAGACAAAGAGGGGTGTTATATAATACAGGAATCAATGCACCAGGATGGTATAACAATTCTGTGAATGAACCAAATAACAAATATGCATGAAGCAAAAACTGATAGAGCTGAAACAGATTTTGAGAAAATTCGTCATTATTGTTGAGTTCTCAGCAACTGAGAACTACAGAACAAAAATCAACAAGGATGTAGTAGAGCTGAACACCATAATCAAGCACCAGGATCTGACATATATATCACTCCATCCAAAAACAACAAAATATGTTTGTTTTTCAAACACCAGTGGAGTATTCACCAAGACAGTCCATATTCTGGTCCATAAAACACACCTCAACAAATTTGAAAGAATTAAAATAATAAAGAGTATATTCTTTACAGTTGAATCAAACTAGACATAAGTAACAACAGGAAAATTTACAAAGACTCTGAAATTTGACAACATCATACTAAACCATGGGTCAAACAGGAAGTTGTTTCAAAGGAAATAAAAAATATATTGCACTGAATGAAAATGAAATACAACATCTCAATCTGTGGGATGCAGCTAACGCCATGAGGAGGAAATATAGCAGTAAATACATCATACATACAAAAATGTTTCAAACCAGTAACAAATTTATACCTAAAGAAACTTCAGAAGTAGAACAAACCCAAAGGAAGCAAATGGATAGGGAGAATAAAGAGCAAAGATCAATGTAGTTCATACAGAAAAATAGATAAATCAAAGGAATAAAATGCTGTTTCTCTAAAAAGTAAAATAAACTTGACTAACCTCTTGTAAGAATGACAAAAATTAGAGCAAAAACACAAATTATCTGGGATGCCTGGGTGGCTCAGTCGGTTAAGCATCTGCCTTCAGCTCAGGTCATGATCCCAGGGTCCTGGGATCGAGTCCCGCATCAGGCTCCCTGCTCTGCGGGAAGCCTGCTTCTCCCTCTGCCTCTGCCTCGCTCTCTCTATCTCTCATGAATAAATAAAATCTTAAAAAAAAAATTATCAAAATCAGGAATGAAATGGGATATCACTACAGATCTGGTAGCCATCAAAAGGGTTAAGGGAGTGCTATGAACAATTTTACTACTGTCATGAATTCTGTATCTTTGAAGAAGTCGACCAATTCCTCAAAAACCACATCCCAAAACTCTAGATCAGAGTGTTTACATAACCACTAAGAAAACTGAATTCATAATATAATTCTTTTTATACATGGTTGGGTTCTATTTGCTAATTTTGAGAATTTTTGTGTGCATCTTCATGAGAGATACTGGTCTGTAGTTTTATACTCTTACATTTTCTCTGTCTGCTTTTGCTATTAGGTTAGTATTGGCCTCATAAAATAAGTTAGGAAATGTTCCTTCCTCTTTTCTGGAAGAGACTATAT